AATCCTTCTGGGATGATGCCATTGCGAATCCATGCTCGCAGGATTCCACTCGGAATCCTTATCTGAACGGGCTTCGAATGCAACCCTTCTGTGGAGGATTTCAATTTGAATCCTTCTTGTGTTTGTGTGCGGGGGAGGGGGTCACTAGGCATCCTGCTTGTTGGGGTGGAATGATAAGAATGTTCCTGTGGAGCGTCCGATTAGGACTCGCCAGCGCAATGCCAACGCAGTGCCAACGCAATGCAAAACCAATGCCATGGCGATCCCAAACCAATGCCAATGCAATGCCAATGGGGGCAATCATTTGTGCTAGATTTCAATCGGGCTCCTTTTTTTGTGGAGGGTTTCAATAGAAATCCTTCTGCGAAGGGAGTAATCAGGACTCGCCATCGCAATACCACAGCAATGCCAAAACAGTGCCAACCAAATGCCAGCGCAATGCCAAGGCGATCCCAGCCCAATGGCAATGCAATGCCAATTGGGGAAATCCGTGGGAGTAGATTCCAATGGAAATCCTTCAGCGGAGGGCTTGGCATGTAATCCTTCCGTGGGGGATTTCAATATAAACCCTTTCTGTGGAGGGTTTCAATAGGAGTCCTTTTTGCGGGGGGGGTCAATGGGAGTCCTTTTGTGGAGGCTTCCATCAGGATTCGCCAGCGCAATACTTGCGAAGTGCCAGCGCAATGCCCACACACTGCAAAGCACAATTCCAGCGCAATGCCAAACCATTGCCGAACCAATGCAAATGCAATGCCAACGGGGGGATCCTTTCTTTCGAAGCATCTCAATAGCAATCCTTCTGCAGGTGTTCCGGATTTTTTTTTCGTCCCCCCCCCCCGGGAAAAAAATGCTTCGCGTTTATGTGTCCCCCTTGGGGGGGAGAAAAACATCTGGGAGGTCGGGAGGAGGAGGAGAAGGAGGAGGAGGAGGAAGAGCAAGAGGAAGAGGAGGAGGAGGAGAAGGAGGAGAAAGAAGAGGAGAAGATAGAGGAGCAATGATGCGTTACCCCTCAGGGAAACAATACGAAATCACGGCTCGAAAGGCGAGCTCCTCCACAATCCCCCATTCTCGAGGAAGAGATGAAGAGGAGGAGGAGAAGGAGGAGGAGGAGGACAGAGGGAGGAGGAGGAGGAGGAGGAGGAGGAGGAGGAGGAGGAGGGCCCCGATGGCGGAGCAAGCAGGAGTTGGATTGGGCAAGTCGCCTTTTCTCTGTCCTTGCCCATTCCACTTTCCACTTTCCTCCTGTTCCACCTGGATCCTGTGCGGCTTTTTAGCTCGTAGGTCGTAGGTACTTGACATCGTCCGCCTGCTCTCATGTCGGGTTCTTGCTGTGGGTGCGTGCGATGAGGGGGGGAAAGAGGAGGAGAAAGAGGAGGAGAAGGAGGAGTAGGACGAGGACGAGGACGGAGGAGGCTGAGGAGGAGGAGGACGAAGAGGAGGGGGAGATGGAGGAGTTGGAACGTCCGCACACGAGACCCCTTGCACAGGTCAGCCGGTCAGCCTGTGCACGTGGATTGGAGCGCAACTTGCGAATACAGCACCCACGGCCCTCGCAGGCACGATCGTTCCAACAAGGAATGGGTCGCTGCGGCGCGCACGGTCCTCGACAAACAAGCGCGCCTGCTACCCTCCACAGCACGGCCGCTTGGTGCCCCATGCGTTCGAATCGAGGGGCCGCGTGTCCAACATGGCCGTCGCATTCACCCAGTCGTATGGCCACGAATGCCACGACGCCCCGAGCGAGTCGAGGCGTCTGGAACGCCGTGGGGGCAGACCGGCCGGCGCGTGCAGACCGACAGCGCCGGGAGGCTGCTCGGCAATGGGCGCCCAGCTGTCGCCGTCACTGCAAGCGCTGCCAGCACCAGCAGGGCCGCAGCATTCGCCCACACGGCCGCCGCCTCATCACCACCACCACGACCTGTCGGGGCGAACGAAAGGGGGGGGGATAGGGGAAAGGGGGGCTTACGAGATCTGCTGCATGCAGCTGGTTTCGGCCCCGCCGCCGGGCCCACTCCTCGACACATGGGCGCCTCCTGGCGCCGGGAGGCGCGCGCCGGGAAAATCAGCTGCGTCAGCTTATTCTCAACCCTGCCCTGTGCTATCCCCTCCCCGCTTTCTTCCCCCCGAACCTGGGTCGCCCTCGTCCCCGCCGCACACCGCAGGGCCTCACGCCGACCACTGGCCCCGCCTCCCCCCCTGCCCTGCAGAGGGGAAGAAGGCCCAGGGGCCCAGGGACGAGGACCAGGCACGAGGGCATGCCTCCAGAGGGCCCACTCGGGGTGCTCGCGGAGCCCAGCACGGGAGGGAGGGAGGGAGGGAGGGAGGCAGGAGGAGGAGGAGGAGGAGGAGAGAGGGAGGAGGAGAAGGAGGAGAAGGAGGAGGAGGAGGAGGAAAAGGCGGAGGAGGAGGAGAAGACGGAGGTGGAGGTGGAGGTGAACGCTCGCCCGTGACCCAGCTCGACACGGTCCTAGGGCAGTGGTCACACAAAGGGCAGAGCCGGTCCGTCGTAAGGCCATGAAAGCGCACTCCTGGCGGGCAGTATTCAGTAGCCAATCTTCGACTCCCTGCCTCGCGAGGTACAGAACAGAGCGAGGGCACAAACTGGTAAGATGCATATTGACGCCTTCAGCCGACATGAGCACGCATATACATGGACCAAGTCTCGAACACATCCGTCTGCAGCACGCTACTGCAGCCAAGATCGGACCCTTGACCAGAGTCCAGTCGCGTTCAACCTTGGACCTGTCCAGAAAAAGAGCGCTGGCGGCAATAAGACAAGAGCTCCAGATGGCCTGAGCTAGCACATGTATCGGACCCGCCGTGCAAGCGTTTGCGGGGTCGACTACCCAAGGGGAGCTGCGCGAGAGGACCAGGTCAAGGGTGAGGGAGCGACGAGCGATGTGGAGGTAGAAGGCAGCATGAGCAGCCCTTCGCATGGGCACGAACCCACTCCCAGCCCGACCCGCAACCCCGTCCCCCCACGTCCCCGCTGAGATCAGCCCTAGGCTGACTAGCTGCTGGCACATGCCGCGCGCCGAGCGGAGCACTCGGATGCGGCTCGCGCGGCGCAAAACGGTGGCCGTGCGTTTGCCTCGGGTGCTCACGCCAGGCCGTCTGCCGCAGCATGCCGCAGCCGTAGTCGATGCCGAGGTTCCTCGCGGAGCGCGTCAACTTGCCCCCGAGGTGCCGGCAGCGTTTCATCACCTCACGGCGGCAGGTGAGCTCGTTCGTCAGGACCACCACTCTGCCGTCGTTGACTTTCAAGCCCTCCGAGGGGGCGGTCTGCTCGGATCCGTCGGCAGGCTGAGCTAACGTTAGCAGCCACCACTCTGGACAGGCCGACCTTTCCTTGCTGGATGTCGTCAACGACATTGCTGGTGTCCGCCGTGCCCAGCGAGTGCACGTGGTCCAGCCGCGGAAGAAGGAACATCCTTACACATAAGTTGGCAAAGCTGCACTCCGCCACCACCCCTCGGGAGGGCCGACACCAGTCGAGGGCAATGCCGTCGGCGGAGATGAAACGGTGCATGGCGTACAACTGAATCGGGAGCCTCATGAGCACTATATTGAAACGGTAGAAGGTAGCACGCTCAAGCACGCTACCTGCTTCTTGTGCGTCGTAAGCTCAGCACTCGCTGCCTGGATCCATGCGCAGGTCTCGCAGCTGCAGCAAGGGAAGGAGCAGCAGCAGCAGCAGCAGCAGCAGGAAGAGGAGGAGTTCCTCCCCGCTCGGAATCGGCAGTTACACACCGCCGCCGTCCCTGGCCAGGGCCATCCTGGGCCCCAGGGCGGTGCACACAGCTTCGAGGCTTCGACCAAGGGGTGGGAGGTAGCGCCGGCCAGGGATGGCGGTGGGGGTTCACAGCGACCCCCTGCGGATCCCAAGAGGTCCGAGATCCCGTGGCCTGGGGGCATGGGCCCCAGGGGGGGGCGGGGGTGGAGCGACGAGTTTCCCGACACACCTCCCAGGCCCGACGAAGCCCCAGAGATGGCCCACCAGGCCCCCGAGACGCCCAGGGATGTTCCCGATTGGAGAGGCCTCACGGCTGGTGCCGCCGACCCTGATCGAAAGGGCTAGGAGTGGGGGGAGGAAGCGGAGGAGGAGGAGGAGGCGGAGGAGGAGGAGGAGGAGGAGGAGGAGGAGACGTCCAGGGATGTTCCCGAATATTTCCCGCAAGGGTGGCCTCCAGGGCTGCCCCATGTGGCCGACGGCGTTCCGAGGGACCGCGATAGGCGATAGGGCGCCACGTTGGCCCCGGGGCTTCCCCAGGACCCCACCAGAGCCAAATACTCCAGATTTCGTAATAAAGGGCAGAGGGTCTGGACCCTCCAGGACAAGCAATTTCAGACCTCCCCCGTGGGGGAACCCTCCAAAACATCGTCCCCAGACCCCCCAGGCCCTCCAAGATAGCCTGGAAGAGACCCCCCCCCGAAATGAGACCCCCCTCCCTTTATTACGAAATCTGGAGTACTCCAGAAGACAGATCTTTCTTGGGCGGCCCCGAGGTGGCCCAGAGAGGGCTCCTTCAGGGAGCACGAAGGGGCCCAGGATGCTGGAGGAAATGGAGCTGCGGGTGAGCAGAGCCGGGAAGTGGAGTAGAGTTGGCTTCCATCTTGGACAGCGCTGATGGGAGCTCGGGAATATCACAGGAGGGAACAAACCCGACAGAAGGTGTGGAAGGAAGGACCGAGGGAACGCGGGAGGGTTAGTGAGAACGCGCAAATCTGCGTGCACAGCGGAGGCAGTCAGCTCCTGGTGGCCTCCACCTCCTTTAACACCTTCGCCATGGCCTTCGCACAGGTGGCCAGTGTTGGGACCATCTACGAGGCGCGCGACCGTTGGCCTCTCTGCGGGTGGGTCTGGCCCAATGTTTGGACATTGGGTTGCGGCAGTTCCAGTTTTCGCTTTCCTTGCTTCCATTTGGACTTCGTTTTCTCCTTTGCCGAATCCAGTCTGCGAGGGGAGGAGGATGAGAAGGGGGGATGAAGGGGCATGAGGAGGACGGCGAGGGGGAGGAGGAGAAGGGGAACAATGATAAGAATAAGGGGGAGGGGAAGATGGTTCAACAGGCTTACGACACATCCGCCGACCCCTTGTCTTTGCATGAGGCCAGAGGGAGGGCGATAACGACGTTCAACGTTCGCCAGATGTTCGAGCGTGAAGGCGACTGTGGACCAGTTCGGCGCTCCCTGCATTTCAAGATACGCCCATGTGGCTAAACGTTCGGGGAAAGTCTGGCCATGCTATCGGACCAATTGTTCCCCCAGCTGTTGTGGAAGCCTTTCGGAGAACACGCGAGGACGAGGAGCATGATAGGAAGAAGGAAAAGGGAGTAGGAGGAGGAGGAAGAGGAGAAGGAGGAGGAGGAGGAGACCTCTTGGGAGCCTCTTGGGGCACGCTTGGGGCCTCCTGGGAGCTTCCTGGGAGCCTCTTGGAGGCCTTGGAGGCCTCTTGGGGGCCTTTGGGAGCTTTTTGGAGGCCTCTTTAGCAGTATTACGGCGTTCCTGGCCCGTCGGAAGCTGTCTTGGGAGCTTCTCTGAGCCGTTTGGGGGCCCTCTTAGGGCGCTTCAGGGTCGTCTCGAATACCATCTTGGTCATCTTGGAGGCCTTTCTGGCGCTCTGGGGACGATTCTGAGGCCTATTGGGCCATCCGCAGGCCGAACCAGGCAAATGCCAAAATTCTTCAAACACATCAATGATTCTAGCCACTCCGAGGGGCCCCTTGGGGGCCTCTGGGACTGTCTTGGGCTGTCTGTGTGGCTTCTTGTGCGAACTCGGAGGCATCCTGGACTCTCTTCGGCCGTCCTGGAAGCCATCTTGGACCGTATCGGGTGAATTTGGAGGCCGTTTTGGAGGCCATCTATTTGGAGCAGGAAGAACGTTTGCAACCACGTTTTCCAGGTGGCCGGCGCGCTGCGCCGAAGACCGGGGGGAGTTCCAAACGATCCCGAAAACCTTTCAGAAGGTCCAGCACGCCGTGCACCCCTTTGGCAAGCCAACAGGGGGCGGCGGATCGAAGACGCCTACGGCGAATCACCGCCGCCCCCTGTCTTTTTTGGAAGCGCCTATGTGGCCGAACGTTGAGGCCAGACCTGCCAAGCTATCGGACCATGTGTTCCCCGAATCGGTTTGGAAAGCCTTCGGGGAACACTTGGGCATCTTGAAGGTCATCTTGGCCGTCGGGAGGCCATTTTGACCCTTTCAGGCCTTCTTGGAGGACGTCTTGGTGGGCTCTTAGGCCGTCTGGGAGGCCGTCTTGAGCGTCTTGGAGGCCTCTTAGGCCGTCTTGGGGGCCTCTTGGGGCCGTCTTGGGCCTCTTGGGCGATCTTTGGGGGCACTTGGGCCGTATCGGGCCGTCGGAAGGCCGAACAAAAAGCAAATGCCACAATCCTTCAAAAACTCATGGGAAATCAGAGATTGGGGTCTTTTCGGACCTTCCTGCAGGCCCTCTTGGAGGCCTCTTGGGCCGTCTTGGGCCATCTTACGGCGTCTTGGTGGGCTCCTGGCTCGTCTGATGCCGTCGGAAGCCGTTTGGAGGGCCCCTCTGGGCCGACTTGGGGCCCTGGCCCGTCTGACGCAGTCGGGAGCCGTCTTGGGGGCCTCTCTGAACCTACTTGGGGTCCTCTTGGGGCGCTTCGGGGCCGTCTTGGCGGCCATCTTGGGCGTCTTGGAGGTCTCTCGGGCCGTCTTGGGGCCATCCTGGGGCCGTCTTGGAGGCTTCTTGTGCCGTCATGGGGCCCTCTTGGAGGCCTCGTGGGCGATCTTGGCGGCCTCTTCGGTCGCCTTGAGCCGTCGGAATGTCGAGAAGAGGCAAATGCCAAAATCCTTCAAACCTAAGGAAAATCTATGATGTTGGCCTCGTCGGGCCCTCCTGGAGGAGCTCTTGGAGCGTCTGGGAGGCCTCTTGGGGGCCTCTTGGGCCGTCTTAGGCCATCTTAGGCCATCTTGAGGCTATCTTAGGCCTTCTTGGGTGCATCTTGGGCAGTCTTGGAGGCATATTGGGGCCATCTTAGCCGTCTTGGAAGCCATCTCGGGCCATCTTAGGGCCATCTTAGGGCCGTCTAGGGCAGGAAAACAGTTTGCAACCGGGTCTTCCGGGTGGCCGGCGGGACCCTTGCGATACATCGACAGGTGGCGGCGGATCGAATGGCCGTCGGCCCGTCCCGCCGCCGTGCCTGGGTTGTTTGGATGTTCGTTGAGATCTCGTGGGAAGCTCTCGGGAGCCTCTATTGGAGGCAGTTTTGAACCGATTGGGGCCATTTTGGTTCAAGCCATTTCGGATCAAGCGGTTGCACGGCCTCGGCGCGCTCCCCGCGGGCGCCATGTCGGTGCCTACTAGGGGGGCTCGTACCGCGCTCGATGCTGCGCGCTTTGTGGAGGCGGCGGTTCGCACGGCTGTGCAGGCGAACGCGCCTCGGCGGACGGTGGCGGCGGTGCTCTTCGCGAGCGCTGGCCCCCCGAGCCGCCCGCGGCCGCTGCTGACGACGACGTGGACGACGACGTGGACGATGTGAAGATGGACGACGCGAAGCGGCAGGAGGTAGTCAGGAGGCTCGCGGCCTTGCGGCTGCTGCCCCGGTCGCTGCGCCTCGCCTGGGCCAGAAGGGCGGAGGCGCCGAGGCGTCTGCTGGGGAGCTGGCGGTGGCTGCTGCTGCTGCTGCTGCTGCTGCTGCTGCTGCTGCTGCTGCTGCTGCGGCAGGCGGAAGGCCGCTGTGGTTGTGGTTGGCACGTCGGCCTCTGCGGCGCCTGCGGCGGCGGCGGCAGGCGCTGTCGGAGCTGGCCGTGGCGGTGGCATTGGGGGGGTGCGCTGGGAGCGAGGCCGCCTCGCGGGAGAGCGCTTTCGAGCTCGAGCTGGTCGGCGCTTCGCTGCGGCACTCTGCGGAGGTGCGGCGCGTGGTGGGCCTGCTGCCGAGCGAGGCCGTGGCGCCCCGTGGCGTGGTGGCACTGGACGGGCCCGCGGGGCTACCGTCAAGTCGGCGCGAGGCGACAGCCGAGTCGACGCGAGGCGGGGCGGTGCGGCGTCGCGGTAGCGCGGCGCCCTTTCGCCGCGTGGTGCTGGAGGGCGGCCGCCCATCACGGCATCCCGTGGGGGGTCGTGACGTTGTTGATCACCGATTGCTTGGCGGTCTCCAGGCTGCGTTGGCGCAACCGCGCGGAGTGTCCCGCAGGATCTGCGGGGGCGCTTTCTGGGTTTCCAAACAAACAAAACAAAGATGCCTCTTTCGCCCTCTCGGGCGCCTCTTGGAGCCTCCTCGTGGCCTCTTGCGGAAGGATCGGGATTTCGGTTCGCGCTCCCTCTTCGGGGCCCCTTTTGTGGCCGTCTCGGGGCCCCCATTGAGCCGTCTTGAGCGCTTCTTGGACCGTCTCGAGGCGCTCTGAGGCCGTCTTGAAACCCCCTCGGAGGCCTCCCTGGCCGTCTCGGGGTGGTCTTGGGGGCCTCCAGGGCCGTCATGGAGCGTCGGAAAGCAGAAAAGGCGAGAACGCTAAAATCTTCAAACAAAAACCAAGGGAAATCAATGATGTTGGTCACTTGGGGCCCTCTTGGAGGCCTCTTGAAGGCTTCATGGAGCGTCATGGAGGCCTCTTGGGCCGTCTTGAGGTCATTTCGGGCGTCTTGGAACGATCTTTCGGCGACTCGGGGCCCTCTTGGACCGCGGGGGGATTCCTTGGGGGGCCTCAGGGACTGTCTAGCCCGGGGAGATCCGGACCCTGCCGGATGAGGTCGGCCAGGGTCGGCATAGGCCTTGGGGCCTTCTTGGGCCGTCGGCCGCTTTAGGGCCCTCTTGGGGGCTTCAGTCTTGGGGCTGTCTTGGGCGGTTCGTGGGATCTCTTGGCGCGTGGGGAGCTGGAGAAGTGGAGAACCCCCCAAAAAATATAAACCTGAATGACATCAATGATGCTTGCCCGTCGGAGCTGTTGGGGAGGCTCTTAGGGCCCTGGGGCGTCTGGAAGGCTTCTTGCGCCGTCTTGGAGCTGCCCTCAGCGTCTTCGACCGACCGTGTAGCGATTCGGGGCACCCTTCGACCGTCTGGGCGAGCTCTCGGGGGTCTCTCGGCTTGTCTTGGCTTCACCGGGCCCCGAAAACGTCATGCGACGCCACTCGGGTAGACCAGGGGGCACGCGGGGAGTCCAGGAGGCTTTGTGAATTCAGGGCCCCGGCCCCTTCAAGAGTTTTCAGGATTGAGGAGTGAGGCTCAAGGAGCTTGGACAGGGGACCTGAAAACATTCCAACTCGTGCCTCAGGGGCACGGTGGCGGATATTGATGATTAGGAAGCTGAAGGTTCAGGAAGGGAAGGATGATGATGTGACGAGGACGAGGTGGAAGGCGAAGAAGGAGGAGGGGGTTCATGATCAGCAGGAGAAGAGGGCTCACCAGGGAAATGGTTGCACGAGCTATCGGCATAGACTATGTCGTCGCAGATACCTCGTTGTTGCTTGCGCTTGCAGTCCCTGCATGCGTGACGCGACGCGGCTCGCCCAAGCTAGCCCTCGAAATTTTCAGAAGCATGCCGCGCATTCTTGGACTACGACAGTTTCTTGGGGAGCGTAGCCCGTGAGACATTGCCATACCCCCATATAGGTCTTTAGAACCCCTCCCAATAGTGAAAACGAATTATCTTCCCGACGCCCTTATTGACGGATCGGGGCCCCACCGACAGTAAAAAAATATTATTTCTCCGTTGCACCCGTCGCGCAACAACGACGACAACGACTGCAACGACGATTACGTTTACGATTACGACTACCACCACGACAACGATTACGATTACAATCACGACTATAGTCACGACTACGATCCCGATTAACAATCCACGACTACAATCACGACCGTAACCACAACCACTGATTCCGATTGCAATGCTCGCAAATCCTCTCGCGTGTAGAGGATTATCCCCTCGGGGAAGGAAACTCCCAACATGATTTATCTAGTCCAATAATAGAGGGAAAGTGCGATCCGTCGCGACGTCGACGAAGACGACGACCACGAAAACGATTACGATTACGATGACAACCACGACTACGATTACGATTAGATTCGCGACTAAACGATTACAATCACGATTGCAACCACGACTACAAACACGACTGCAACCGCAACCGTATTGCAACTACGGCGAAATGAAGGAGAAGAGTGTGAGCAGCGCCTTCGCCGACGAATGTGTCAATCTAAATTACAATCGTCGCACGAACGTGCTCAAAACTCCTCTGTCGCGCTGGGCAGCCCAGGGAGCACTATTCGCTGGGAGAAAGAGACCCCCAGCATTATTCAGCACGGCGAACAATTGCGGGAAACAGATCGGTGGCCCGCGACGCGGGCGCCGACGACGAGGAGGAATGAGACGAGGAGCAGGAGGAGGAGGAGGACGTCTTTGTTTCCCGGCGAGGGAGGGCCCAGAACAAAAGACCTGATGAGGTTATGTTCTTAGTCAGTGCGGGTCGGTCGAGCGGATCCGTATGTTTGGTCATGTCCAAAATTTCACTCATGCCGTTTTGTAAATGAGTGGGCGGCCGTGGCATGTCTAGAGGCCGCGAGATTGGAAGGAAACGCATCGAGCCAGGGCCATTGCGCCATGCAGCATTCAAGCTTCGACATTCGTATGGACGACCCTCGAATTGCTCTTGGTATCGATCGGGCGACAGTCGCTGGCGGATCGTGTGGGCCTGGCGAGTTCCACTGTCTCGGCTCATTGGTCCAACCACAAGTTGAATTCATGTCTTCGCTGTCCCCCCTCCCCCGGAAAAATGTATGGGCCTCTATTTGGATTGGATCGTGGGTTTTCCTCGGTGAAGAAAGGAAACACCGTACGCATGATCTGTCGGAGGTCCGCGCAGATTCCTTGGTTCGGCGCTGGACGCCCCTGGCGGCGCCTCCTGCGCTGCCCATGGCTCGCTCCGCTCGCCAGGTGAAGGGGATCCAGCGCCGATTCGAACAGCCCTGATCCGTCGCATTCTGTCCACGTGAACTGGTGCGTGGGTCTTCCTGCTCCTAGGCTCCAAGTGGCGGCTCCGTCTCATGCTCACGCGTGGCTCCAAGCGTGGAGTGGCCGTGAGTTCCTGAGCACCTGGGGGATCCAGCGGAGCGCCCCCATGCGGGCATACAAAGATGAGACATCGTCTCATCGTTGTGCCCTTCACACCGTAGAAGTATCGCCACGCCCCCAGGGAGGTCTAGCGGAGCCCACCCTCATGAGCACGGCAATGGGTACGAGTTTGGGAAGTATAACGGAGAGGCTCCTTGCGGGCAGACAACCCACATGAGTCCAGTTGAGCGTATTGGATTAGCAAATGAGACGTCGCCTCCCTCGGGCGCTGCCAGTCTTGAACGTGTCACCACTTCCTGGGCTCCTGGCGAGTCCAGCTACACACCCCTTAGCATGTCACGGGGTCTTGGGGAGTTCACCAAAGCGCCCATCTTGTTGGTTTCGAAATGGCACGCGTTGCCCGCAGGTGCTGCCAAACGCAGTCGTGCCTTCGTCTCCAGAGCCCATGGAATGTGCAGTGGAGCGGAGTCCTCCAGGGATCCAAACCAGACCGTGCGTCCCAGGGTGTTGTCCAACTTTGCTTGTGGCCTGGGTGCATCTGTGGGCAAAGTCTGAGAAGTGGCACTCGAAGCGGCACTCAACGTATCAGTTCAGTTTTGATTCAACCGCGTGGCCAGTCTTGTTCGGACCGCTCGGACCGATTCGGATGTTGACTCGACAGGGCGGCCATCTGTAGAGTGGGCACAGACGACCAAGCATCAAGCTAGCTTTTCCTCATTGAATATGGTTCCCCCTCTTCTTCTTCTACTCCTCCTCCTCGTACATCATTGTCGGGCGATTCCTTCCGCTTCCTCATTCCTCCCTTCAGGATCTCTCCTGCTTCGTCCTCCCACCATCTTTCTCTGTCCTCCCTGCTCCGACCTCCCTCCTCACACAGCCTTCTCCAACCCCCCGCACAAAACTCATTCACATCCGCCTGTGCGTCCTCGGCATCATCGTCGCCATCCGTTGATTATCACCACACTCCTCACACACCCTTCCCCGCCCAGCATATCCCCCCAATCCTTCCATCCTCATCGAGGAACCACTTCGACACGCAAGACGCGGGCGAAGCCCACTGATGTTGCGAAGCCCTCTGTCTTTCTCGCAGTCGCACGCTCGCCCTGCCCTCCGCGTGCGCCAAGATCCCCCGTTATACCTGCGGCGTCCGAGCGTCCTCTGCAGACGCCCCCCTCGTGTTGGGACCGGTCGCCTCTTGAAGATCTGTGGGAGAAGACGGCGGTGGCGGCGGTGGCTGAGGCAGCTGAGGCGGCGGCGGACCCAGAGATCCAACGCATTGAAAAGTCAAGACGGAGGTTTTTATCAATTTTCGGCCTCTAGGGGCCCTCGCCGGCGGCGGCGGGTGCAGCAGCAGCGGCGGCAGCGACGGCAACGGCGGCAGGAGGCGGCATCATCGGCGGCAGGTGACGGCGGTGACGGCGGCTGCTGTGGCAGCAGCGGATGCGGCGGCAGCTGAAGCGGCAGCGGCAGCGGCGATCGAGACGCTGGAGCGCCGAGCTGGGCAGGCCGCCAGGGACGCCAAGATCGTGCGCGGACTCGAGGCCCAAAGGGGTGGAAAAGCATTAAGTATATAGATGTATATATACACATATACGTATACATGTACCTACATCGGAGGTTGGGGTGTTAGATCGCGGTGGAACGGAGACCCCCAACCGGGAAATCGTTTCGTTTCGTTCGTGTCGTGCGTGCGGGCGAGGCGAAGTTGCGTGGGCGCGCGAGAGGAATGAACCCGCCCGTCCTGCGGTGGCCCGCGGTGTCCCGCGGTGACCCGTGGTGTCCCGTGGTGTCCCGTGGTGTCCGCCGTTGCTAGGGAAAAATCAAGACAAATGATTCTCCCCCGCCCGCCCATGCGGCGGTGGTTCGCGGTGTCCCGTATTGTCCCGTGGTGTCCGTCGTTGTTAGGGCGAAGTCACGACAAATCATTCTCGCCCGCCCGCCCGTCCGTCCGTCCGTCCGGCGGTGTCCCGCGGTGTCCCGGGGTGTCCCGTGGTGTCCTGTGGTGTCCCGTTGAGTGAGATCGATAGTGAGATCGATACTGAGAACGATACTGAGATCGATGTGGTGCCCCGAGGTGTCCCGTGGTGTCCCAAAAAGTGAGATCGATGGTAAGATCGATAGTGAGATCGACAGGTGTCCCGTGGTGTCCCGTTGAGTGAGATCGATAGTGAGATCGATGTGGTGCCCCGTGGTGTCCCAAAAAGTGAGATCGATAGCGAGATCGATAGTGAGATCGATGTGGTGTCCCGTGGTGTTCTATGGTGTCCCGTTGAGTGAGATCGATAGTGATATCGATAGTGAGACCGATAGTGAGATCGAGAGGTGTCCCGCGGTGTCCCGTGGTGGCCCGTGGTGTCCCGTTGAGTGAGATCGATAGTGAGATCGACAAGTGTCACGCTGTGTCCCGTGGTGTCCCGTTGAGTGAGATCGATAGTGAGATCGATTGAGTCAGATGTTGGTTCCCCCCTCTCCCCGAAGGGTGGTCGTATAGGTACAGATACGCATGTATGTTCATGTGCATGTAAACAGATGTGTGCAATAGTCCTTGCAGCTCAATGTTCAGCGACAGGAGTTATGCTCAGTACTAAGCCAAGTTGTCTTGCTCTTCTCAGGCGGCGCTGCAGTGCCAGCGTTTCTTTTCTCGTATGAGCGACGGAAGAAAAACAGGGTCGATTGTGCGGACATTCGCGCGCAAGTTCCCCGCGTCAGGTCGCGCGTAAGCGCCCATTTGTCCACGTGGTGTGCCTCGCTTGCGGCCCGCGTACGCCGCGGCGTAAGGTCGCCGTGGCCTCCGCTCACACTGATCACCCTGATCACGTGGGTTCTGAGGAACTCGGGCCCTTGCTGTCCGCAGTCGGCCGCAGGAGCGTTGTATGGGTTTGGTACCCTACGGGTTGGGGCCCCATCCAGGTGTTCTGCAGTCGGCCGTTGGCCGTTTGCACATCGGCAGTGCAAGATCATTGAGACGCGGAAGTAACAATCACTCTGGGCTCGGGAGGGACTATGGTTCCGTTCCGATCTTGAGGTTGTTGTCGGGAAACCCATTCTAAACGCTTCGCGTAGCTTTGCGTAACCCCACCAGCCCCTTTCGCCCTTCGTCTCTTGCGCTAATTTAGGCCGTTGCTTGTTCGCAGTGCCCTGACGCCGCCCGACCTGTTCCTCGCCGCGGTCGCGATCAAAAAGGTACCCCCACCAGCCCATCCAGAAACGATGCCCAGACAAGCTGCCCTTTATCAGGGATACGGAGGAGCACGCAGTGGAATGAGGGGCTGGGTAAGACGTTATACCCCAAGAGGTGGAGGATGGAGGAGCAGGAAGAGGAGTGGGGCAAGGGGGAGGGGGACGAGGAAGGAGGAGGAATAGGCGGATGAGGAGGAGGAGGAGAAGGAGGAGGAGGAGGAGGGCGAGCACAAAGGCCAGCGGCCTCATGATGCTTCTCGGAGTCTCTTCGGATGTCTTTCGAAAGCTTCGTGGGTTCCTCTTGGGGCGTCTTGGATGGATATTGGCAGTCCCCGGGCCCTCTGGGGGCGTGCTGAGTGCCTCTGGGGGGCCTCGTGAGGCATATTGGGGGTATCTTGGGAGCTTCTCGGGGGCATCTTGGGGGCCTCGTGGGGAGCCTCTTGGGGCCTCCTGGCCGCCCTCTTGGGACCGTCTTGGGGCACGCTCATCTTGGAGGAGATCGATCAAAGGACGGGCCGTACTCAATTCGCTCATGTGGCCAAAACCGTTGTAAAACCCCTTTGGCCGTCCAGGATGCTTCTGGGGCGCCTCTTGGAGCCTCTTCGGGGTCTCTCAAGAGCCTCTGGGTATCTTTGAGGCTTGCACCTCTTGGGGCCGTCTTGAGGCAGAGCCCGGGTGGGCCATGTTGGGGCCACTTTGGAGGAGATCGATCAAAGGAGGGGGGCTCGTTCTCTCCACAGGAGGCCAACATGGGGCGAAAAACCTTGGTAAGATCAATGTCTGTGGCCTTCTCGTCGAGGCCTCATTGGGCGTCTGGAATACCTCTGGGGGGTCTCTCGAGGGTCTCTGGGGAGCCTCCTGGAGCTTCTTGGGGGCATCTTGGGGGCCGCTTGGGGCCTCCTGGCCGCCTCTTGGGGCCGTCTTGGAGCACGCTTGGGAGCCTTGGGAGCCATGTTACGGCCATCTTGGAGGAGATCGATCAAAGGACTGGCCATACTCAATTCGCCCCCCCCTTCAAGAGTCCATCATGTGGCCGAAACCGTTGTAAAATCAATGAGTGTTGCTTTCTCGCCGAGGCCTCTTGAGGCGCCTTGGGAGCCTCTTGGGGGCATCTTGGGCCTCCTGGCCACCCCTTGGGCCGTCTTGGGGCACCCGTGGGAGGCTCGGGGACAATCTTGGGGCCATGTTGGAGTAGATCGATCAAAGGACGGGCCGCACTCGATTAGCATTCACGCCCTGAATTGGTGGTGGGATTCGTGGTCCACCTTTGCCGTGGCCAGAAAAGGCCGTACTTCCCTTAGCCAGCGATACAGATGGTAACATGATGGTTGTCATCTCTTGATTTGGGTCCACGCATTGGCATCAGCTTTCATGTGCGGATCTTGTTCCGCAGGTTTCTCACGAACAGTCTACCACCAGGGCTTCCTGAGCAACTTAGTATAACCCCTACCCCTACTCCAAATGGCACCGAGGCAGACTCACACTCCGTTAACGAAGTTCCGCAGGCTCGGAGTTAAGGCAAGCCGCGTGAAGGAGAGGAGAAGTGGGTGGGAAGACCCCGTCAGCAGAACACTCCCAGAATCCAGTCGGTCTCCAAAGTCTCCAGTGCTTGGGAGCCGAGGTCATCTGGCACTCACGCATTTGATCCACGGGCTCATTCTGAACCCGCGCCCGTGCACCTCTGACCGTATTGCACTCGCCAGGTACGGTCAGAGTTTGCATCCCAAGAGTTGGGTATCCGAATTATTTGCCGACGGATTGGGAAGGGGAGGCTCTTGTGGGGGGGAGGCGCACCCGTCTGTTCAGACTATAAACTCTTAGCTCGAGCCTTGGGCGCATTGCCTACTCAAGTTCGGTGATGCATGCCAGAGCAATGCCGCGCGCAGGCCAGCCAGATCGAGAGTGACAGCGAGGTGAGCATACAGCGCATGGCCTGGAGGCCAAGTCAGCCTTGCCCGCTCGTTGAGGGACGGGAGGCGAGGACCAGAGAAAGAGAGAAGAGAAGAGAGACGGAGGGGTATCAACGGTGGGGAGAGGAGGGCGAGAGGGAAGAACAGGAAGGTCGAGGGATGCAGGCGGGCAACGAGGCAACTTACCTGTATAGATACATGTCTGAAGCCAAAGCATCCCCAAGAAGAAGGGGGAGAATGACGAGGGGGCCCAGATTTCGAGTGGCTGATCGTGCTTGCGCCGCCACGGGGCTTTCATTACTAGTGAAGATCTGGTGGGGACGAGACTGCATAGCCAGAGGGGACGAGGAGGGGGAGGCGGCGGGGCGGTGGCGGCGGAACTGCGCAGGGACCCCAAGCAGCTCGGAGTCTGCCAGAGTGATCGGGTCCGTTGCTGACCGTGCCAGAGGCCTCGGCTCTGGGCCCGGGGGGTGCGTCCGAGTGGGAGGGGAGCAAGGAGGACCCGAACAGCCGACATCGTGATTTTCGACCTCGTGGCTCCCCAGAGGTAGGGGCCCCTTCCCTGGGGGCCAGCTCCTCATCCTGAGAGGGGTGTTCGACGGTCCCTGGGCCCGCAGAGGCCGAGAATGTCCCAAAGCCTGGCCGCCCTGCCGACATGCCTGGTGGTGCGACAAGGGGGAGTTCCGGTGGGGGCGTTCGTGAAGGGATGTGCCCTGGCGGCTGCAGACCTTGGGGGATTCTTTGCCTGATGAGGGCGGCAGTGATAGCCATGGTCGATCCGCGGTGGGAGTTCCACCGGCTCCCAGACCCTGGATTTTTCCCAACCATCCTGTGGTGTTGGGTCCTCGTTTTGAAGAGACGGTGCCCCGCGTTCCCGCCTCCTTCCTCCCTCCCTCCTCCCCCCTCCTCCCCCTCCCACACCCATTTCGGTACACCCCTCACACGTTTCGTTGCCCCATTGGGAGCTCCACCGACGGCCCCAGTGGCTGCGTTCGCTTTTGCGGCGCATGCGGTTCCACTCCCCATTTCGGCACACCCTCACACGTTTCGTGGCCCCGTAGGGAGCTCCACCGACGGCCCCGGTGGCTGCGTTCGCTTTTGCGGCGCATGCGGTTCCACCCCCCATTTTGGCACACCCCTCACACGTTTCGTGGCCCCTTAGGGAGCTCCATGGAAGGCCCCGGTGGTTGCGTTCGCTTTTGCGGCGCATGCGGTTCCACTCCCCATTTCGGCACACCCCTCACACGTTTCGTGGCCCCATAGGGAGCTCCACCGAAGGCCCCAGTGGCTGCGTTCGCTTTTGCGGCGCATGCGGTTCCACCCCCCATTTTGGCACACCCTCGCACGTTGCGTGGCCCCATAGGGAGCTCCACCAAAGGTCCCAGTGGCTGCGTTCGCTTTTGCGGCGCATGCAGTTCCACCCCCCATTTTGGCACACCCCTCACACGTTTCGTGGCCCCGTAGGGAGCTCCACCGACGGCCCCAGTGGCTGCGTTCGCTTTTGCGGCGCATGCGGTTCCACCCCCCATGTCGGCACACCCCTCACACGTTTCGTGGCCCCATAGGGAGCTCCACCGAAGGCCCCAGTGGCTGCGTTCGCTTTTGCGGCGCATGCGGTTCCACCCCCCATTTCGGCACACCCCTCACACGTTTCGTGGCCCCATAGGGAGCTCCACCGAAGGTCCCAGTGGCTGCGTTCGCTTTTGCGGCGCATGCGGTTCCACCCCCCATGTCGGCACACCCCTCACACGTTTCGTGGCCCCATAGGGAGCTCCACCGAAGGCCCCAGTGGCTGCGTTCGCTTTTGCGGCGCATGCGGTTCCACCCCCCATTTCGGCACACCCCTCACACGTTTCGTGGCCCCATAGGGAGCTCCACCAAAGGTCCCAGTGGCTGCGTTCGCTTTTGCGGCGCATGCAGTTCCACCCCCCATTTCGGCACACCCCTCACACGCTTCGTGGCCCCATAGGGAGCTCCACCGAAGGCCCCAGTGGCTGCGTTCGCTTTTGCGGCGCATGCGGTTCCACCCCCCATTTCGGCACACCCCTCACACGTTTCGTGGCCCCATAGGGAGCTCCACCAAAGGTCCCAGTGGCTGCGTTCGCTTTTGCGGCGCATGCGGTTCCACCCCCCATTTTGGCACACCCCTCACACGTTTCGTGGCCCCTTAGGGAGCTCCACGGAAGGCCCCAGTGGCTGCGTTCGCATGCGGTTCCACTCCCCATTTCGGCACACCCCTCACACGCTTCGGAAGGCCCCAGTGGCTGCGTTCGCATGCGGTTCCACCCCCCATTTCGGCACACCCCTCCACGCTTCGTGGCCCCATAGGGAGCTCCACCCCCAGTGGCTGCGTTCGCATGCGGTTCCACCCCCCATGTCGGCACACCCCTCACACGTTTCGTGGCCCCACAGGGAACTCCACCGAAGGCCCCAGCGGCTGCGTTCGCATGCGGTTCCACCTTCCATTTCGGCACACCCCTCGCACGTTTCGTGGTCTGAGGCGGCACCACCGAATGCCGCAGCGGCAGGTTCGGCATGTCGGTGTTGCCCCATGTCTGTACACCCCTCACACGTTTCGTGGCCCCATAGGGAGCTCCACCGAAAGCCCCAGTGTCAGGGTTCGCATGGCGGCCTTGGGCCATTTCGGCACACCCCTCACGAGGATCGTGGCCCCATGGGAGCCCCACCGATGTCGCCCGTGGCAGCATCCTTCATGGCTCTCAGAGCCCTCTCCTGCTTCTGCTCCTCGGTCAGGGGGACGCCGTCCTCGTCGTCGTCGGCGCCCGCGAAGACGGCCACGAACGTGTCCCTGAGCATGTCGGGCCCCGGCGGGGAGCCGTGGCTACATAGGGAGCGCGGGCGAAGATGGGATTCACAATTGCGGTATTCACAACAGCGTATGGTTGGGTCCTTCGCCAGGCTAATTTATCTAAGGGTTCTTTGTTTAATGCCCCCACCGCATCTTTGGGGAAACGGGATAGAAGAAGAAGAAGAAGAAGAGGAGGAGCAGCAGCAGCAGCAGCAGACGGAGCAGGACGAGCAGCAGCAGAAGGAGGGAGAGGAAGAAAATGAGGAGACGGAGGAGAGAAGCAGAGGGAGGGGGAGGAGGAGGAGGAGGAGGAGGAGGAGGTAAAGGAGAAGGAGAAGGCGAAGGAAAAGGAGCAGCAGCAAGAGGAGGAGAAGCATGCCAAACCTAAGCAACTCAGCGTGCTTCGGAAATTGTTTTTTCCGCTGGTCGAAGAAGACCGGGATTTGCTCCCCATGGCCGATTCGGCCCTCCAAGGAGTGGCGGGGATACATCTAACCTCCCCACAATACGTACTCTTTTTTTCCTCATCGTCGCTGGTCGAATGGTGTGTGAGGATGTACCGCGCCGAGGCGAAGGAGGCGAAGGAGAAAAGTTCCGTCGCGATCGCTTCACGACGCAAGGAGGTCAAATGAGTAGCAGCAGGGTGAGGAGGAGGTCGAGGCGAGAGCTCTGCCACGCACGCACACGTATGACGTCGTCACGGTCGGTCGGCCCAACGCCCCATGGTGTCCTAGGAGAGCATATAGCCTGACTGGGCCTCGGCTTTCTCCGTCTGAAGGAGGGCGGGTCTTTGTAGCAAGGGCACTTCAGGCTTCCGGCTATTGGACAATCAAAATTGCATAAACATGATGTCTATCAGGTCCGCGCATATTTCTTGGACAGGCGACGGCCCCCCTGATGGCGCCTCCGGCGCCGCCCTTGGCTCGCTCCGCGCGCCAGAGACGGGGGTCTAGCGCCGATTTAAGAAATCCGCGCGGACCTCCGAGAAGGTATGTCCATGCACTTGCGCGTCTCTCTGGAGCGCGTGGTTCGTCGTTGTCGCGCATCTGGGTTTATATTGTGGTCGCTATGTGCTTGATTCTTTGGGCGGCCGCATCCGTCCAGAGGGAGGTTCAGTTCAGCGGCACGGCCTCGTGGCCGCTTGTGGCGTCTGGCCTCGCAACTGCAAGAAACGTCGCTGCAGAAGGAGACAACAATGTTTGCAAGGGGCAGACAAGCAAGAGTGCAGGTTTGCGAGTGGGTGGGTTGCCTGGGAAGTAGACAGAAAGACAGGCAAGGAGACGGGATGGCAGTGACAGAGGGAGGGAGACGGCAAGGGTTTTGGGTGGGAAAGAGAATTAACCTCACGATGCACCCAACCCTTGCGCAACGCATGGCTTTCTGGGCCCTCTTATTGCTGTCCTGGGGCGCTTCAAGGCCGTCTTGGGGCCATCTTGGGAGCCTTTTGGGCCTTCTATGGGTCCTCTTGGGCCGACTTGGCACCCTCTTGGGGGCCCCTTGGGCTGTCCTGGGGCTACATTGGGGACCTCTTGGGGGCATCGTGGGCCGTCTTGGGCGGCCGGAAACCCGAACAGGCGAGAACCTCAAAATCTTCGTTAAACAAAATCGAAGTGAATTGGTTCGGACCCCCCTTGGGCTTCCCAGGGGGGCTTATTGGAGCTTATTGTGCCGTCTTGGGTGCCTCTTGGAGCATTATTGGATCGTCTTGGGGGGCCTGTTGCGTCGTCTTGGGGCTGTCTTCAGAGGTTCTTGAGCTGTCTTGAGTCATCTTGGGCCGCTGTGGTGTCCTCGCGGATATCTTGGAAGCCCTCTTGGAGGCCATCTTGGAGAGGGGGCGTTGTGTTGGGGGCGCGCGCGCGCGTCGAAGGGGGGCCTGATAAAACTTTAGAAACATTTCCAGGCAACAGACGAGCATTGTAACAGGTCCATTCCGTGCAGGCACGGTGGCGGGCCTAGTTGCTTCCCGAACATCCCGCCATCGTGTTTTGGTTGTAGGCGAGAGGTCTCTAGAAGTTCTATTAGCTTGTCTTTGGGCCCTTGCGGGCCCGAAAAAGTCACGCGGGAAGCCCCAGGAGATTTGAGAATCTGAGATTCAGGTCCCGTTGAAAGATCTGTATGATTGAGGGTTGAGTCGCATAGGATTGAGCAAGGGCTTTGAGGACATTCCAATTCGTGCCTCGCAGGCACGGTGGCGGTTATTCCTACGCATACGGCAAGGCGGATACATAAGCGAGTGTGCGTGCATGAATGTGTAGCTTCAGCGATGGTGGCACGGCCCACTTCCAGCGCCGTGTGCCCAGGCGCGTGATCATTAGCGTCCTCCGCAGTGCGGTCAACCTCGGGCTGTTTACATGCAGCTTGTTGGGCGCTCGCTCCGACGCGTACATCAGCGTTGCGGCGTCGGCGGCCGAGACCACAGGAGCGCGGGATGTTGGCGCGGGAGGGGCAGGGGCTTCAGAGTGATCCCCCTCCCGCCCTTGTCTCCTTTCCCCGCCCTCGTCGTTTTCCCACCTCCGCACCCAGTTCATGCTCAACCCCCCCACCCCCGCACCCCTGAAATTCGCCGTTGTCTAAGTACCTCGTTTACGTGCTATCGTCGCCTCACCCACCACCACCGTCCCCACCTCTGTCCCCACCACTGTCCCACTGTCCCCACACCACTGTCCCCACCACCACCGTCCCCACCACTTTCCCAGTATCCCCACCACTGTCCATCTGTCCCGAGGAGCGGGAATCGTTTGACAGCGGCGAGGGGGGGCGGGGGGGTTCAAACCGGTAGTGACCCCCCCGGTTTTCAAGGGGGGAGGGGGGGGGGGGAATTCGGTCGGGTAGTGACCCCCCCTGATGTTCGAGAAGGGGGGGGACGGGTTGGGAACCCCCGGTGACCCCCCCCCCCTGGTTTTCCGCCAGCAGCGGTAGAACACGCGCTTCCTTAGGTCTACATGTATGAAAATGCATACTTTTAAAAAGTTTGCAGGCAGTTGTGTGTGTATATCTTCCTCGTCCCATACATGTGAACACATACGTACGCAGGCATGTCCACGCCTATATGGAATCAGATGTGCATACCTGTATGCGGAGATCCCCTGTCTCTTGCTTTGTCTCCGTCTCTCTCTCTCTCTCTCGTTTTCTCTGCCCCTGCCGCTCTCTTTCTCTCTCTCTCTCTCTCTCTATGGATCGCTCTCTCTCTCTCTCTCTCTCTCGCCCCCATCTGTATAGGTAGTTCTCTCTCTCTCTCTCTCTCTCTCTATCTGTCTCTCTCTCTCTCTCTCTCTCTTTATCTCTCCCTCTCTCTCTCTATGTATATATATGAAAGTATATACATATATATGTCGTTCTCTCTCTCTCTCTCTCTCCCTCGCTCCCTCTCTATACATATATACATACATATATATTATACACCTCTATGTACGCATAGACATATCCCTATCTCAATATCTTCACTTTCCAAATACATGATATATTGTTACATCCCCTCTCTCACACTCTCTCTCTCTCTCGCGCGCTCTCTCTCTCTCTCTCCCTCTCTATCTATGTATGTCTCTCTCGCTCTCTCTCTCTCTCTCTCTCTCTCCCTCTCTCTCTCTCTCTCTTTCTCCCTCGCTCTGTATACGTAGACATGCCTTATATCTCTCTCGTTATCGGTCCATATCTGTCTCTTTCTCGCTCTCTCTCTCTCTCTCTCTCTCTTTCTCTCGCTCTGTGGTTGATATAATATATGTGTATTCACGAGGGCTTCGTGTATGCATCCCTCTCCCTCTTTCTCTCTCTCCCCTCTCTCTCTCTCTCTCTATGCGTGTGTCTTTCTGCCATTCTCCCCCCTACACCGATATCAATGTAAGTGCGTGTGCCCATATCTAGCGGCAGTCGGTCCATTCCACCACCGATGCGTCGTGGGGTCGTGTCGGATCTTTCGCGGTGGCTTCTTGGGGGCCGCTTGGGGACCTTTCGGGGGCCCTTGGGGGCATCTTGGGGCCTCTTGGAGGCCTCGTTGGGGCCCCTTGGGCCTCCTGGAGGCCTCTTGGGGCGCAAAGCTCGACATGTGTGTTTGTGCTCCCCCGCTGGGATCCGTCTTGGGGCGCTCTTAGGGGCCCTCCCGAGCCGTCTTAGAGGCCTCTTGGGCCGTCTTGGGGGCCTCTTGGGCCGCCTCGGCACCCTCTTGGAGGCCTCTTGGGCCGTATTTGGAAAGCCCTTGGGGGCCCCGTAGGCCGCCTTGGAGCGCCGAGAGCCCGAAAATATGGAAACGCCAAAATCCGTCAAAAACTCTGAGCGCTTCGCGTACCCCTACCAGCCCATGCGGAAATGTTGCCCTTGCGAGCTGACAGAAAAAGGCACGAAGAAGCACATACGGTGAAACAACGCGGGCTACCAGGGTGAACAGAGAGATCTTTGGAGCAAGGTGGTGGCCTTGGAAGGCCTCTTCGGGCCATCCCTGGGGCCCGCGCGGGGGCGAGGGAAGGAGGAGGAGGAGGAGGAGGAGGAGGAAGCCCACGACGACGACGACGACGACGACGACGACGACGACCATGACCACGGCCACGACCACGACCACGACCACGACCACGACCACGACCACGACCACGACGACGACGAGGAGGAAAACAAAAAAGAACACGATGAGGGCAAGGACGAGGACGAGGACGAGGAGAAGGAGGCGGGCAACGAGGACGAGAAGAGAGCCATAAAAATCGTTTCCTGGGGCTCTTTGGGGGGATTTTGGAGTCCCCCTGGGGCTCTTTGAGGAGGTGTTGAGGCCCTCTTGGGGCCCTCTTGGGGCTTTCTTGAGGGCCTCTTTGGAGCCCTGGAGGGCCTCTTGAAGCCATCGTGGACGGCGTCGGTGCAAAGAGGGTGGCCCTAATGTTTCGTACCCCCTCTGGGGCCCTCGACGTCGCCCCTTGGGGCCCTCTGGGGATGCTCTTGGGGCGATCTTGGGCGCTCTTGGGGCCGTCTTGGGGGCCTCTTGGGGCTCTCTTGGACCATCTTGGAGCCATCTGCAGGCTTCAAACGCGTATCGGAAGCGAAAAGGCATGAAGGCCAAACGCAACGATTTTCTGTAGCTTTTTGAAGAAGGGTCCTGAGGGGGTTCCGAGGGCACTTGGAACAGTCTTTGTGACCCTCGTCGTGCCTCTTGGAGATACACCGGAAGCTATCTTAAACCATCGTATCGGCTAGTTGGAGCCATTTTGAAGGCCATCTTGAAGCATAGGAGGCATTATTGGAGCCTTCTGGGGCGAAAAAAGACCCTCTAACACATCGCGGTCCGCCACCAAAAACTTAACGGAGGGGAAGTGGAGGGCACCCCTTCCCGAAGGGAAGAAGATTATTGGAAGAGAAAAGAAAGATATCGCTAGACCACCTTAGCCCAAAGGGCTGGTGGGACTAAAGGGAAATCAATAATGTGTGCTCTTGGGGCCCTCTTGGGAGTGCTCTTGGAGGCATCGTGGGCCGTCTTGGAGACCTCTTGGGCCGTCTGGAGGCCATCTTGGGCGTCTTGGAGCGATCTTTCGGCGAATGGTAGCCCTCTTGGACGCGTCGGAGGGTTCGGGAGTCGCTCTGGGCGCAGCCAGAGGACTGGCAGGAAACACCCCTGAACTCACGGGGGACCCCCAGAAGACCTGGGGACGGCCCCGAATTCCGCAGCTCTGGGCCCTCAAGGAAATACGTTCTTGGTTGCAGCAGAAGCACAGTTGTGAGCCTTGGGACATTCTACTTCGTGCCAGAGGTACGGTGGCTGAAACCTGTTCCGACATACATACATGCATACATACATACAGACATGCATGAATACATACATACAGATCAATACATATGCATGCATACATGCATACATACATAGCAATGTTGCAAAACATGTTTTAAATGTCAGTGATTTCACGGTTCTGGGGACGATCTCCGAATTTTCCCGGGCCCCGGCTTGGGCCCCCGTTTGTTCCCAAATGGGAGGGGGACGCCCAGCGTAGTTTTAAATTGTTTCCATCGGTGACGCTCTTTCTGGGATATGATTCGCGTGACGGGTGTGCAGACATGGTCGGGGGGGCGCTGTACGGACCATGTCTCTGGGCCTTTAGGTTATGCTCCTTGTGGGCCCGATCCGCGTGATGGGGTGTGTCGCAATGGCCAGATGGGGGGGCGCAGTGCGAACGCTTCCTCTGGGGCCGTAGGTGGAGATCTCTGTGGGCCATGATCAGTGTGAAAGGTGTGCCGAAGCAGGCGGGGGGCGGGATGCGAATCTTGTCTCTGGGGCCGTCCGTGGAACTTTTCGCGGGCCACGATCTGAGTGAGAGGTGTGCGGAAGTGAGTTGGGCGACGCCATGAACCTTCTTTCTGGTGCCACGAATGCAGTTGCTTGCAGGGCACGATGCGCCTGAGGGGCGTGCCACTATGCGAACCATGTCTCCGGGACGTAGGTGTAGCTCCCTGTCGGGCGCGATCCTTGAGGGCTGTGCCAACAAGGGCAAGGGGACGGTAATCCAAGTTTATCTCTGGGGCCGCAGGTGGAGCTCCTTGAGAGGCACGATCCGTGTGACAATATGTTCTCCGATGTCGAACTTCAACTAAAGTATGCTAGAAGCTAAGCGCGCGAAGTGCGCGTGGTTCTATCACACATACACACATACACATTTGTTATATATTAATATATGTATATATACATACATATATATATACATACATACACACACGTGCATTGATCAAACGGTGTTTGCATTTAAGGGCTCTCATTTCTTAGTACGGATCTGGGCTTGTTTTCCCGCTCTGGAGGCTATGTTGTCGCCGTCGCCGCCCGTCGTCTGGGACTGTCTGTCGCTTTGGCGGCTATGTTGTCGCCGTCGCAGCCTCGCCGCCGCCCGTCATCTGGGCCTGTCTGCCGCTCTGGCGGCTACGTTGTAGCCGTCCCCGCCTCGTCGTCGCACAGCATATAGTTCGCAACATATACTGCGCAACTTAGATTGCACCACGTAAATCGAACAACCTCAACTGTGCACACCACAGATTGCGCAACTTACATTGCCCTGCACGACACGTATTGCCCCACATGAGTTGTACCACATAGGTTCTCTTGTCGAACAGGAATTAGGATCTACCTGCATCCCGACCGGTCTTCGCGCCTACCCCCCGCGGGAGAGTGCAATTTACATGTGACTCTGCCCACCGTCCATCTCAAGTGAAATCCCATGCCATCCCAGCCAGGCCGGCATCGACCCCCCCTCCCCCCCACCCTCGTCAAATTATACCATGCGCTCACAGCTGTTCATCGGTAGTCAGCAGTGTTCAAGAATCCCTTGTAGCAAAACGAGTGTGACAAAGTCCACACGCTCGCGGGTCGCGCACGCATGCCGAAATTACTCGGAAACCTTGGGTTCAGTACGGACCTCACAATCGAGTGTGCCGAAAACAAAGAACCAAAACAAAGGGCCGTGCAGCATGATTTGCCCATGAAAAACTGCGCACCCGCATTTGCGAGATCTTGATAATACAAAAAAAATGTTCAAACACCATCCAATTCGAACAAACGGGGATCTCTTGCGTACATGTCGAAATCCTTCGAAAGCCTTTGCGCGCTTGTGGGGGGCGTGAATCACATGCACAAGAAGAGAGAAAGAGAGAGAGAGAGAGAGAAAGAGAGACAAAGGCCACACGCGCGCGGCGCCGCGCGCGATTGCCGAAATTGCTCATCAACCGTAGGGTTCGTGCGAATTTCAGATCGAAGTTCCCGAAGACAGACGAACAACCAGTCGTTTCGCAAACTGATGTTTCAAAAAAGTGCACGCCTGCGCTCTTGCAAAATCTTACGAAGACCGTAGGATTGTTAACATTGTCGAACGCCCTTCGCGCGTGCTGGAGGGGCACGACCCTTGTCTAAGAATGCCATGCGGGCTACTCGCGCCCGCCGACCGCCAGTGCATTTCGAAATCTTTACATAACCTTCAACACCGACACGTAGGCACGATCATCGTCAGCGGTGTGATCAGCACCGGCGCCATCATTGGCCTTGCCGTTGTCACCAGCACCATCGCCGCCCGCATCGCTACTATCATCATCGTGTCGGCGGTCGTCGGCGTCGCCATGATGCTGCGCCGGCCCGAGTCACCGATTCGCACTAAAGTGCCCGCGCATCAGCGCGGCTTGCGAGACGCGCTGAGAAGCCCCCACGGTTTCGCATTATGACGTTTCATAAAAAGGTATGCGCCCGCTGTCTCGCAAATTCCTAGGACAACCTTAGAATTGAACCAAACGGGCCTCTCGCGCGCGAGTGTCGACATCATTCGAACGCCCTTGCGCGCGTGTTGGGGGGCGCGATCCATATCAAAAATTCAATGCGGGCCACTAGCGTCTGCCGGCCGCACGCGCATGTAGAAATCTTTCCAAATACTTCATCATCGACCAAAGGACCTCATCGTAAGCGGCGTGATCAGCATCGGTGCCGTCACTGACCTCGCCGTCGGAATCATCGTCGTCGCCATCAGCGTGGCAACTATCATCATCATGTCTGCCGTTGTCGACGTCGCCATGATGTTGCGCCCGCCCGAGTCACCGAATCGCACTAAAATGCCCGCGCGTCAGCGCGGTTTGCGAGACACGTTGGGGAACCCCTTGCGGTCAGCGCCGCCGCGACCGCGTCGGTCGCGCCGGACTAGTTGGCAGGTTTGCGCGCGTGTTTGCGCGCGCAAACAGGGCCGCAGCCATGCACCAGCCAGCGCCAAGCAGTCACCGAAATTGCCGCCGCGTCTGTTTTGCCAAATACATTGCGGACGGGCGGGTGGGATGATTGCGCGAGCAGTGGATTTGACAATTCAGTGCGAACAACCACCCCCACCCCGACCCCCGGTTTTATCGGCATTTCCTCGGGGTGCGCAATTTTGATACGATGTTGCCCCCATGTTTTGTGTGTTCTCCCTTCGTCCTGTTGCTTGTCCCTGCCCCGTCTCCTCGTTTTTCCGTCAGGCGGCCAAGCCTGTATTTTCCTGCGTTGCCCCCCTTTTCCCCCTCCACTCTCGGTTCCTCGCTTTCCCGCCAGCCCCTTGTTTTTGCATCGCCCGCGTTTCTTTGTCGGCCCGTTTTGTGGTCCGCATTCGAATGCGCTGAATTCGCCGCTGATGTTCACGCCCACGCACCGCCTGGCCTTGTCTGTCTGTCTGTTTGCCTGTCCCTTAATCACATGACCTCATGCCGCCCCAGCCAAGCCAGGCTCGACCCAACCCCACGCTTCATCCCCGTCAAATAATACTACGGGCGCCCGGTTGTTTATCGAAAACCATCCATTTCCAAACCCGGAAAAAAAAACCTGGGCAAACAGTTGGATTACGTGCACACGCGCCTATCGTCGCGCGAGCATGCCGGAATCACTCGAAGACTTCGTAAGCTAATCGAATTCGAGCAGCTCGAAAACATTGAAAACACGATTTCGCAACATAACGTTTCATAAAAAGGTGTGCGTTTGTTGTTGTGCGAATTCTTAGGACAAGCGTAGATTTTCAACATCTCACCACATGCAACCAAAGGGGCCTTTCGCGCGCGCATGCCTGCATCATTCGACCGCCGTTGTGCGCGTGCTGGGGGGACACGATCCTCATCAAGAAATACCATGCGGGCCATTCGCGCCCGCCGATCGCACGCGCATGTAGAAATCTCGCCAATCCCTTCATCACCGACGCGGGGACATCATCATCGTATGCGGTGTGGTCACCATCGGCGCCGTCATTGACCTTGCCATCGTCATTACCGTCGTCGTCACCAGCATCGCTACTGTCATCATCGTGTCTGCCGTTGTCGGCGTCGCCATGATGCCGCGCCCGCCCGAGCCACCGACTCGCACTGAAGTGCCCGCGCGTCAGCACGGCTTGCGAGACACGTTGGAAACCAATTGCGGTCAGCGCCACCGCGACCACGTCGGCCGCGCCGGACTAGTTGGCAGGTCTGCGCGCGTGTCTGCGTGCGCAAGCGGGGCCGCAGCCATGCGCCAGACAGTCACCGCACTCGCTGGCGATTGTGTTCTGCAAACCCAGTTGGGGGCGGGCGGGTTGGATGATTACCCGAGCAGTGGAGTTGACAATTTCAACTTCGTCAGGGCGAACTGCGTCACAAAGCTCGCATTGCAAATACTGCGCAACACACACACACACACACTGCACGCATTCCACAACAGATACACGCGGATTGCATCACATAGATCGCACAACATAGATCGCACACGTGTAACTATATATGTTGCACAACATGGGTTGCAACCTATAGGCTGTGCAGCACACTGATTGCACCACATGCAGTGGCCCACGCAGATTGCACAGCATGGGTCGCACCACATAGATTGCAACACACAGGTTGCACCACAGGCATTGCACCATCTTGATTGCACAACATAGAATGCATCACATAAAGTTGCATGGATTGCACCACAGACGTTGCACATCGTTTGTTGTACCCCGGACAATGCACAACGCATACTCTTGGAATCACATTGTTTGGGGCTTGCAATGGCTAGCTAATGTATATGTATGTGTGCATATGCAGCTACGTGTATCGAATGTGTGTAGTCAGATTGATATATGGATACGTCTACGTATACACAATGACAATGTATACAACTGCATGTGTACAAACACACGTATGCATATACCTGTGTAAGTATATCTACACGCATTGTACATACATTCTTATATGCATCCCAGTTAAATGTGGTATCTCGCTCTTCCTCTCTCTCGCTCTCTGCACGCCCGTATTGGCATCACCAACCAGGCACTCACGGGTCATCGCGCATGTACGTGCGTACGTATACTTGCATGCGAGCATGCGTTCCATGTATACGTACATCTCGACACCACCCGCGCCTGCGACAGAAAGAGTTCCGTTTCGATGTACCATCTGGTTGTTGCAAACCAGCAGGCTTTTCAATTGGATATGGTGTAGCTTTTGTTTATGGGTCGAATCTGCAGCTGAAGCTACAGCTCTACCATGCGATTCGGCTTCGTCTGTCTGCCAGGAATACTCCAGGTGCAGTGGCCTGCGTCGTTCTCATGTGTTCCGTCTTTCTTCGCGCAGGCAGCAGCGACGTTTGGTGGATGACACATTCGCCAGTTGGTTGGTCCGCGGAGGAGATGAGGACCGGATTGCGGGGGGCATGTGTTTCTTATTTGTTTGTACGCAGATGAGAATTGATGAACCGATCGTGGGGGTGATGAGGAAGAGGCGGAGGAAGGAATTTGCAACCATGCAGTGCGTATCAACCGAGTGTCAAACGCATCCACGTTCAGCTTCCGACGCATGTCCATCATCACGTTGCAAGAATCAATTACATATAGTACGCTGAGTCTTGATCGGGGTACTTCTGATTTTCAAAAATTGCGCGCGTGTAAACACACAAGATCATACTTACAACGCAATCGTAAGATATTAGAAGCCCTTCGTTGCTGCTGCGGCTTGCACTGGTGGTGTCTGGGGCTCCAGTATTGTTGTGCATTGCGTTTGTTCCTTAGCATCCCGAGAACCTAAACGAATTTCCATGCCCGCCACATTTGAGCCACGCTACTCTGAACAGTCACCATTTCCGTTTCTCTTCGCGTGTGAATTTGCAAGTGGCATTCTGTACACGTACACCAGCACATTGAACACGATGTTTGATACGATTGAGTGGATCTTGTGAGCGCGAGATGTTGATTTTGGGAGTTGACGCCATTGTTAAAAAATCGTGTGGGAATTGATGCGGGTGTTGCCGCCTTTAGTTTGCAAGCCACAGGCACAGCTTATCTTATTGAGCAGTTTAGTTTACGACATCTGATACAAACTTGCACCGTCATCCTGGGGGGGCCCGTCCGATATATTTTCTGCTGGGGATTATTGGAATGATTTCAACATCGACTTATTCATCAAGGCGCCAAAAAGGCACTGACGGATTATCCGTTCGCGTACTCCGACAGTGCATTCGGCCAGATTGCGGACAGACCAGAGGAGTTCTAAGGATTCCCAGAAGTCTCAGTGGAAGCAGGCCTCCCTCAACCTCGACCTCACGCTCCCGGCTGACCGACCGTGACCTTTTCCATCCCCACCGCCGGAACCAATGAGCTTTGCGCTCGGCGCCCGCGCCGCCCGCGTTCCGCAGCGGTGGCCAGCTCAGTGTGCATACGCACATGGGCTGCCGCTAGATGATCGAACGGACCTTCCCCTCAGGTGACGTTCGCCCCCCTCCCACCTCCCTCGCCCCCCTCGCCTCCTCATCCTCCCTCGCCCCCCTCCTTCTCGCCTCATCCCCCACAATTTCACAATATGAATAACTACTACTCTCCTCTCTCCCCTAGTGACGTCCGGGAAATGGCCGGACCCCCTCCGCGCATTGGTTTTTAACACAGGATTCCCGGGAAACGGGTTTTCGCCTGGGCTTTTGTTCAAGATGTTGCTCTCGTTGAGGCGCTGGCTTCATTTTCGGGCCACCGCTCGTTCCGAATCGTGCTCCCACTGCAGCGCTGGCCTCATTTCCGCGCTTCCGCTCGTTCCGAATCATTCTCCCGCTGCAGCGCTGGCGTCATTATTTCCAGCGCCATGCAAGGTCCTTCCAAAGAAGCTCCAAAATCTATAAAATGGCCCCCCGAAAAAACCATCGGAAGTGATTACACATTCGGTGCCGATTCGTTGAATTTTGTGAGTCGCAGAAGCCCCCTCCACATTGGGCGTCGCCACGCCATGCCATGTCATGCTACGCGTTGATCTTCAACACCATGCTATGCCATGTAATGCTATGCCATGCTACGACATCCGATTGTGCGAATAGAGAAGAGATCTACGGCATGGTAAAGGATGGGAGGGAGGGGCAGAACGTCAGATATGACGCGAGCGCACATAGCTTGTCCTCCCCCCCTCCTCCCCCCTCCCCCGCCCCCCTCGCCTCATCCTCCCCCCCTCGCCTCATCCCCCCGCCTCATCCCCCCTCGCCTCATCCTCCCCCCTCCCCACCTCGCCTCATCCCCCCTCCCACCTCGCCTCATCCCCCCTCCCCCCCTCCTCCCCCCCTCCCCCTCCCCCCTCGCCTCATCCTCCCCCCCTCCGCCCCCCCTCAGGAACCTCCTCGCGGCTCGCTGCGGCCTCTCGCTGGTGGCGCTGGTGCTCGCCCTGCCGCGCGCGGCGGAGAGCGGGCCTCTGGGCGCCCAGGCGTACTGAACCGGGCGGCGCCTTGCGAGGGCGGGGGGAGGAAGGGGAGGAGGAGGAGGAGGAGGAAGAGAGGAGGAGGAGGAGGAGGAGGAGGAGGAGGAGGAGGAGGAGGAGAAGGACGAGGAAGGAGGAGGAGAAGGAGGAGGAGAAGGAGGAAGGAGGAGGAGGGAGGAGGGAGAGGGGAGGAGGAGGAGGAGGAGGAGGAGGAGAGGAGGAGGAGGAGGAGGAGGGGGAGGGGGAGAGGGAGGAGGGGGGGAGGGTCAGTGCAAACCCAAGACCCATCAATGATGTTGCAGTAAACCCTCCCCCAAGTTCCCTCTTCATGGGTCCCTACAAGGATTTATGTTCACTGTGGCAAGTGGCCCGTTGAAGGACAAACGTTTGGAAATCGTCAACTATGCCAAGGGACCTTCCCTGGGACTTCAACGCTGCGAACCAACTTTGCGTTCCGTCCTGACGGTCCAAAGCCGTGCCAGAAGACCGTTCCTGGGACTTCAACACCGCACATCAACGTGATTGTCGCGTTTCGACAAGCCGAAATCGTGCCAGAACACCATGCGTGGGACGTCCACCATCAGAATCATTGAATATGTTGAGACGATGGCGCGCGTCGCTGAGGGGAGAACCACAGTTTGAACAGGAACCGCTTTACATCCGTGCAAGCTCTGTTGTTTCTAACCCGAATGTGGGCGGCACTAATGCGAGAGCCACATGCTGGAAACGGTGTGCCCTCCATCCGTGAAGCTTCTGCAGACGTTTAAGACGAGTGGGCGCGGCCCTCCATCCGCAAAACTGCTGAACGATCAGCCGTCCATCTGCGAGCATTCTTTAAGTTTTGAAGACGGATGTGCGCGGCGCTAAGGCAAAAGCCGCATTTCGAAAACAGCGTCCCTTCCATCCGCGAGATTGCTACAATGCTCTAGCTTCAGGAGCATGAGTCGTGAGGAAGTCTCTGGCGAAACGCCCGTCCCGCCCTGCCGGCCGGTATCGGGGTGCGACAGGGAGGAGTTATCCATAATGAGAAGGTATGAAGAAAGAGGAGGAGGAGGAGGAGGAGGAGGAGGAGGAAGAGGACATCCACCGGCGGAGGAGAGGGGAGATCCGCCAACAGCGTCAGAGTATGCGGTGAGGTGGTGGAGAAGGAGGAGGAGACGAAGACAGCCATTGGCAGAGGAGAGGGGGGAAAAAGGGGGATTTGGAGGAAGGCGTCCACTGGCGGAGGAGGAGGGGGAGCCGCTAACAGCATCACAGTGGAGGAACAGCTGGGAAAGCAGCCGCTGGATCTGCGGACGTGGCTTCGCAGAGACGCGCGCCTTTGAGCCGGCGCCTGATCTTTTCACCCAGTGGTCGAGCGTCTCCGGGGGCGGAGAAGGGGGACGACGGAGCGGGGCGCGAAGAGGATGAGGGGGGGAGGTGATGGGGAGCGGAGGAGGCTGGGATGGGGCACGATGCGTTTTCGCCACATCCCCCTCCCCCGTTTTCCCCGCCCGCGTCCCTCTCCTGAGTCCCCTCGTTTGGTCTGGGGTGTATATTGTGGTCTCGATGACTACATGGGTGACGCGCGCGGGTGGGTGTCGAATTTTCCGCACATTGAAATCCAAGTAACGAATGCGCCCACCACGCCCCCCTTCCCTTTCTCCACCCCCCTCCCGCGAGCGATGCGCGAGAGCAGATAAGGAGGGATGGAACGGAGGGCTGTTTTCTGTTGTAAGTTAGGTGCAGGTGGCCTTGGTAGCCTTACCAGCCGGGCTGAGAAGTGGCGCGGCACCGAGCGACAGGCCAAAATGAGCAGCGGCCATGAGAGAGTTGGAGAGTTGGATAGCGGGAAAAGTGACAAGTGGCGAGAGCACAGCAGGCAATAGCAGTAACAAGAGGACCCTTTCCACCATGGAATCAATCATCCCCCAGTAGCAAGAAGATTTTGTCCACCACCAGGTAATGAATGACTTCAATTGCCGACATGACGTATCATTTCAGCATTGTCTGTCTTCCACCGCCAGTCTGCACGCATCTATCACAGCATTGGGAAAGGACGGATGAAAATGATCAGGAGGAGGAGGAGGAGGAGAAGGAGGAGGAGGAGGAGGAGGAGGAGGAGAGGCAGATCCACCTACCCCCCTCCTCGGAACCCCCGTCGGCCCACTCCACCTCGTCCTTCACGCAGCGACTTGCCCTCTCTTTCCTCCTCAATATGTAGGTTATAATTTTATCAGTGTGAGGGGGCCGAGCGGTCATTCACCGTCCCTGGGTGCGTGGCTGAAGTGGGGGTCCACGGCGAGAATTATGCTTGTTGCTTTGTTGCGTCATCCCCCCCGCGACCCGCCCGCGACCCACCCGCGACCAACCCCGCGACCCGCCCGCGACCCACCCGCGACCCACCCCGCGACCCACCCGCGACCAACCCCGCGACCCACCCCGCGACCCGCCCGCGATCCACCCGCGACCCACCCGCGACCCACCCGCGACCCACCAGCGACCCACCCACGACCTACCCGCGACCCACCCCGCGGCCCACCCGCGACCCACCCGCGACCCTCCCGCGACCCACCCGCGAACCACCCGTGACCCACCCCGCGACCCACTCACATTGCTTTAGCGAAGACTGGCACCTGCGGCGGGCTCGTTGTATATTTTGTGAAAATTAGGCGCTTGCGGCAGGCTTCCCCAGAGCCTCGCAGACTGCAGACGTCCCCGCCGCCCCCTCACTCTTATCCACGACTGCTGGGCGCTACGTATATGTAAACACACATATGACATACCGAAATACATGCGTTCATATGTTTTGCACATAGATTTACATATCTAGGTAACTGTGTATGTGCATAATAGATGATGCAAGCGCAATGAGGTATTACGATGTTATAAGAATGGGCATGCATAAGGGGAACGTGGCTCCACCGAGAGGAGAATTCAGTCCTTCCCTTCCGCCGGCCAGCGGGCGAAGGGCGACAGCAAGTGCCAGATACGTTTTGTGAGGTTCTCGGTCGCCGCGAGGGTCGGGGGCGAATCACCGTGCGGGTTCAGGGCTGCGCGCTACTGTTTTTTGCAGTGCCACACCAAGTACCCCCAACCATCGATATTGATACCCCATGCCATTCCCAGAGATCGGTGACACGATTGTTACGCCACCCAAAAAAAGCAAACCCTGCGCGATGTTCAAGGGTGAAGATCGTCATTTGCGCTTATTCTTTTCACTTTCCACATACACCTATTGTATTTTATGCCATTCTGCGCGTCCCGCATGTTCGGCCAAAAATGCCAGAAAATCCCATGTTGTTGCTACGCCCAGAGGGGGTCGAAGATGTCGCGTGGATCCCTGCCAACTATCCTGGATAACGCGCATGCAATGCAGACCCCCGAACAGCCGCAGAGGTACCACATGGAGACTATCTCGACGATGAGGAAAACGATAACGAACCCGTAACCATGGAATCGACCCGGAACACGTTAAACAACAGCATGCCCTTACCATGCGCGTTGTCCGTAGCGTCGGGCACGAGATGAAAGAGGTGCGGAGGAAAATGCAGGAGAGCATCGATGACATGGACGTGCGAGTCACAAATTTGGAGACGAATATTGAAGATATGCAGGATGGCGTGGAGGATATCCAAATACGAATGACAAATTTGGAGAATACGAAAGAATAATTTCGAACTCCAAGGTCGGCATCAAGCCTTTTTGCTACGAGACCACTACCACTGAAAGCGGGCAGTCACGGCAGTGATTGGTACCATGGATCATTCCGATTCGTTCGAGGCAGTTTCTACGTATACGTTGAGGGAATTAAGGAACATCTCTGGACCGACCCCTACAACATGTACTTAAAGTATGTTGCTTCGAGCGATCCCGACCGAAACCTCCAGCGTTTGTTCCCGATGGCGCGCGGTCGCCTAATTGGTGGAACGCTGCGCGCGGGGTCCTGTGGTCTCGGCCAGTGCGGCGGCCGGGCCGGGTGGCGAATTACGTTGCCTCCAAAACCAACAACCGCAGAGCCCTTGACGAAAGAAATTGAAAGAAACCCCGGGGCGAAAAACAAGCTTCGAAAGCGTGCGGTGCGAAACGGATAGAGAGCCGCAGCTTGTTGAAAGAGAAAGACGAAGAGCATCAGCAGGAGGAGCAGGAGGAGGAGGTGGACGACGAAGGAGAAGGAAGAAGAGAAGGGAGGTGAGGCGGACCTCTCCTCCCTACTTGTCCTACCCCTCTTCGCACCACTGGACAACTGCCGTTCCTGGATGCAAGCCCGGTTCAACCGTGTACCATGTAGTCACGCTAGTTCATGTCATGTTCTATTATGTCTTGGTATGTTTTCGAGGGGCCGGCGTGACATCGTGACGCTTGTGACATTAGGTGCACCGTATGTCACGATGTTCCTGTTGACTCATATGTTCTTTGATTGAATATGTGTTATTATCCTCATCTCTGTCACCATGTGAGCCGAGATGGTATGGTATTCACTACTATGTGGCACGATGCTATGCTATGGCATGACGTGTTATGCCAGATCATGGTATAGTATGTTATGGTCAGTGATGTTATTGACAGCTCGGGCCAGTATAGTATGACATGATATGTTATGCCAATGTGTTTCGTTGAGCTTTGCTGTCATGGTATGTTATGTTATGTGATATTGTCATGATATGGTATGGTATGATGTGATATGTGATGTGGCGCTGCCGTGCCATAATATGGTATGTGACCATGTGCCATGATATGACATGGTATGTCAAGATGTGTTACGTCATGTTTGGTTATTACATGGTATGTTCAGGTATGACGTCTGATGGTATGGCATGTTCTGTTATGGTGTGTTATGTGATGTTATGGTTGTAGATAGCTCGGCGATGCATTGTATAGTATGGTATGTGTTGCTAGTATGTGTAGGTATGATATGCTGCCGTGTTATTACATGTTGTCATGATTTGATATGTTGTGTGTCAAGGTGTGGTTTGTTATGCTCGGCGCTGTTATGTTATGTTGTGGTGTGTCGTCGTCTGTTATGGTATGTTATGTGATTTTATGATACGATCTACTTTGTACTGAC